TTACTAAAGTCTCGGGGAACTGTGAGCAATTTATCAAATATGAGTGTGCATCTGGCGTAGGGTCTACTGACTCTGGTCTTAATTGGTGGGTGTCACGTGACGGAACACAGATGAACTACTGGGGTGGAGCTACTGGCTATACCAACATGTGCGCATGCGGAGTAACAAATTCTTGTTCTAATGGTGGAAAGTGCAACTGCCCACCCAAAAGAGGTTGGAGCGAGGACAGTGGCCTGTTAACAGACAAGTCTACTCTTCCTGTGACACAAATCAGACTAGGAGACTTAGACCATTCACACGAGCAAGGTTATCACACTTTAGGAAAACTCAAATGTTATGGACAGGGATAGCTGATTGTTATGCGATGAATAATTACGACGCTCCCATTCATTAGTTTGACCCTTGGATGTGCAACCGGCTGGAATGCAATTTATTAATCATAAAACTTTTGAAGTGCACCTTACCGATTCACCCGCCGATTGTCAGTAGCCACTTTTGAAAATTACAGTGGCAAAGTTTAATTACAGTAATCTCTGCTCAGAGTGTTAAAGCATGTTATGATAGCCGGAGTCTTCCCAGGAATAACCTGTCCATAAGTGTTATAAACCAATCCTAGTGGATACCCCAATGCAGGTGCAGGCTAGATGCGGCCGTATTACGCAACAACTGTTTTTGGGGCTGCGGCGCTTCTTACATTAGCTATTACGGGGTTATGCAGGAAAGTGGGTTAAAATTGACGCCCATTACAGTCCCTTATCATATCACTGAATCAGCAAGCGAGCAACATGCATTGAATCCTGCCTTCTCTTTGGCTGCCTAGTCGAGCAAGATGAACCATCTTGCCTGCTCGTGATTTCCCGCGTTGGTCCCGCAAGAAAAAGTTCTCTATATGGAAATACAAGAATCCTTTACTGACCAAGTTTGTTCGGTCAAAATAACTGGATATCGCCCTCTCTCGTGTTTGCGTTTTCATTGTCCTCGACTTCTTGTAGGTCATAAAAACGCAGGGAAGAATTTAGCCAATATCGAGCTACCTTGACCTCATGCTTGGTCAATAACGCATGTAGAGTGCATTAATTAACAATTAATGAATGAGGCTGAGCATCTTATGAAGAATTATGGAGATTGAAGCCATAGGCCAAGGCGGATAACACCCTCCGAGATCTCCATAATTCTTCGTATGATACTCAGCCTCATTCATTAATTGTTTTATTATTCATTCAAAATAATTCCTAGTTTAAAAACAAAGCTAAAACATGCTTACCTCCATTGATGTTAAGTTAATATTCGATAGTGCACGTTTATGGTTGTTCAGCTCCGCAAATATTCTCCAAATAGCAGTTGTCGCCCTTCGAGTTGTCTTCTTGCTGTTCTTGCCATGTTTTTAGCGATTATTTCGCCTAGTTCTTACTCTTGAAACGAGTGAAATGTCCGCCATTTTTGTTTTCACAACCAAAACAACTCAATCTCGTCCCCAGGTCTTCTCGGTTAACGGTGCAATAACCTGCAAGAAAACTGCACTTTTGACGTCATCGGTTCATTAAACGCAAAATTCTTCCAAATTTGGTCATCAGTAGCTGGTTATTGTGAATTAGCCAATCAGAATTGGGGAATTATTTTGAATGAATAATAAGTGCAATTAGTATATACACACTCAGTGATCTTGGTGATCTAAGCAATCTGATTGTTTCGCTATCTCGGACTATTCAACAATATTCACCTCTTAACGAGTGGATAATGTGTGAGCTCGGTGCTTTTCCACATTTTTTTGGAGAATGATCTGTTAAAAGTCGACAAAATCCTAGGGCTGACTTTTTAAGGCAAAAAAAAAAAATACTTCGAAGGATTCAATACGGCGTTTTTCAATTTACTGTAGCTGAGTTTTGTGCTCGATGGATTATTTACAACTCCCGTTTATTCGCGTAGAAGAGACCATTTCGTAAACTCACCGTTTCCTAACAAGAAACAAGAAAGGTAGCAAAAAGCGTAACATAGCCCCTTTAAAACACCAGAAATCTCAGAACGCGCTGTCAATTAGCCTCTAATGTTTTTAATTCATTACCCTCTGCTGCAAGTAGTTTTTAGTGATTTTAAAACTAAAGTGAGGACGTATCTTATAAATAGGGTAAATGCATGTTTGATTTCTTGAGTTGTATATATTCTAGATAACTTTAAATTTTTTTGTCGGTAGCATCCCTACCATTGTACATAGCTATAGCTTTTTATCAAGAATATTGTTATTATTTTTTAATATTAATGTAAATTTTTACAGATGAAGAGCCACCTTTCAGTGGAAATATTTTAATAAAGTCATTGTTATTATTATTATTAGTAGTAGTAGTAGTATTAGTATTATTACAAGTGATACCGGTAAAAGTAAATTATAATCATTTTACACTATATAAAGCTTCCAGTTTAAACCCTAAAATAATTTGATCAAAAAGGGTTAGTTTTTTCTTTTTTCTTCGGTACCGCAAATTCTTACGACGAAGTCACGGTT